AAACTTCACTAACTATCCTTGATTTCCAAAAAGGTGTATGGTCAGCAATTGTGCTAGCGTGAAAGCGATAACACCGTGAACCTGCTTCGTCAGCTGATTCGCACGTCCTCGTCTTTTGCTGATATCTGACACTCTTGTGTGCTCACCGATTCCTTTTCCAGTACTGGAAAGTATGATACAATACATTATTGCAATCCTTATTCTGTTAGTATTCTATCATTTCTATTGGAAAAGGAGAAATCTCCCACCAGGTGAGCTACTGGAAATTTTATTTGTTGAAATAGCATTGAAAGGAAGTTGTAACTGATGAATGTAACTCAAGTTTTCCTCCATTAGCCGCTAGTTAGCTCTCCTTTTTACTACGGAGATGCCAATGTTATAATGCCATAGGATGGAAGCCGAGAACTACTTGATATTTCTGCGGCGCATATCGGGTTGGGGGGGAGGCATTTCACCTTCACTGTTTCCGCTGGTCGTATTCACTGCTCTATAGGACGTAAGAGGTATTCTTCAAATGTATTGCTGCGGGTGGTCTCCACGAGCTTCGACAGGCATTACTTTATGGCTTCACAGGATTTCATAGCTCTTCACTTGATGGCTCTACAAAGCTAGAAAGTAGCGGAGTTGCTAAATGCCGCCATCCCCTTCCGATCCCCCCTCCCAACCCATCTGCTCCATTTCTGCTTTCAAATAGTGATTGGTAGTGCCAACAAATAAGTCACTCAACCCAGGTCCAACGCCTCTTCCTTTCATCGGCAATCTTCATACAATTCTTTCTCATGAGCCAGGATATGAAGCATTCGAAATGTGGCGGAAGCGATATGGACCTGTCTATACGTATTGGATGGGTAATGACAAACATTGACTCTTTCACCGTGGTGATGGTCCTGATGAGAGATGATCTTTTTAAGGTCCGTTCCCATTCGTCATGCTTAGCGACTATCCGACATTGAAGGAGACGTTCGTCAAGGATGGTGACGCATATATTGGAAAGTTCCATTTCAAAGAAACTACACAAGAATATCGAGGCAAGATTGGCTTTGTAAGCGTGTTCAACATGCTTTTCTATAGCGTTCACTTCTTTTCTAATCATAATTTGTATTATTCTGCTGTTTTCTTCTTAGGATACTGATCTTACGTCAGTCAGCTCTGAAAGCGTGCACCAGGGCCTACTAGCATTCGGGAGAGTATGGCACTGTAGGAGGCTAGCAGACAGCTGGTATCCTCCTGTCGCGCATACTCTACCAGCTGTCTGCTACCCTTAATTCCCCATTCTCTACCAGCTGTCTCCTACCCTCTTATTTCCCCATACTCTCCTCCGGACGCTGACACTGGTGCACGCTGGCGAACGCTGAGATACGCTGGTCCACGCTGGCAGACGCTAGATTGATACCTGTACTTTCCCAGTCGCTGAAGATGTCGAATGCTCGAGACGCCAATGGACGCTCAAAACGCTAGTGGACGCTGCCGCCAATTATGAACGCTAAAGCGCGTTCATACTTCGTCATCCGATCGCGCGACCGAACGATCAGACCAGGCGATCTAAGCGATCAGAGCGCTAAGTGTGAAGCGTTCTTAGCTTGAGGATTCTTATTAGGTTGTCCGGAAAGTTCTCAGCGTTTGTTACTATTTTTTGTACATTCATTGCTGATTAAAACTCATTCTCCCTTGCGTCTCAGTAGTACATCCTGAAGAGAATTTTTGCGCTATCTGATGGTATAATTGCCGTTTCACCAATGCTTGATAAACCCCTTTTCCCAAGACTTTTTGATGCATGTCAAAAGAGCAACTTCGGACGATATTTTTCTTCAACTAAAAATTAGGTCATTCCGCACTCGAGACAGCTCGACAAATTAACCAGGTGTGGGGGCCCAATAGTGTTGGAGAAAGCACCGTGCGACAATGGTTCAACAAATTTCGTTCTGGAGATTTCAGCCTTGAAGATGAACCTCATAGCGGTCCTAAAGCAATATCTGACGAGGATTTGAAGGGGTTTTTGGAGGCTGACCCATCCCAAACAGAGATTGCAGAAAAGCTAGGCGTTGGCAAATCCACTGTTGCGGATGGTCTGAAACGCATTGGGAAGGTGAAAAAACTCGACAAGTGGGTGCCCCACAATTTGAGTGACCGGCAGAAATTGGCACGTCTCGAGGTTTCTTCTTCACTGCTTTTGCGCAACAGAAACGACCCGTTTTTGGACCGAATTGTCACCTGTGATGAAAAATGGATCATGTATGATAACAGGAGACGTTCCGGACAGTGGTTGGATTCGACGAACCACCGAGGTAATTTTCAAAGCCGAACCCTCACGAAAAAAGATTCTGGTCACGGTTTGGTGGTCATCGGCTGGTGTGATCCACTATAACTTTTTATCACCAGGCCAAACCATCACAGCAGAGTCCTACTGTGAAGAAATCGACGAAATGTACCGAAATTGCGTCAGCTGCAGCCAGCACTTGTCAACAGAAAGGGTCCGATTCTTTTGCATGACAACGCCCGCCCACGTTTCACAAATCACTATCCATAAATTGAACGAATTGGGGGTTGAAGTTCTACCTCAACCGCCATATTCTCCAGACCTTTCACCAACCGACTATCACCTTTTCAAACATTTTCAGAACTTCCTTGCTGGAAAATACTTCATCAATTAGGGCCAGGCAAAAAAGCCCTTCGTAGATTTCGTGGATTCTCGACCACCCAGTTTTTTTTTGATGGGATTTCTCGACTGCTGTCACATTGGCAAAAGTGTGCTGATTCGAATGGTGCTTATTTGGATTAAATCCGATGAGTATTAAGAAAGTTATGATCGTTTAAAGTGAAACACTCAAAACGCTGAGAACTTTCCGGACAACCTAATATTTTCTTGCTGCAATTTTCTGGGGGTCCAGAACACGGCCCAGTGAAAAGTTGGATTTTTATTGGATTTTCTCGTTCACCAGAGTGGATCAGTTAAAAGAAAAAAAAATCATTCTACTGATAAGTAATAATTATGAAATATAGTGATTCCATCAAGTCGCTTACCCTGCATAATTCAGGAGGTGAGTATGGCGTCGTCGAGACTGATGGAGATATGTGGCGCGATCATAGACGATTTGCTCTGCATGTGCTAAGGGACCTTGGTCTCAGCAAGGACGGCATGGAACAAAGGGTATCAAAATTTTCATTAATTTCATCTTACTTTGAGCAGTTCGCTCACGGTCCAGCTATCAGCAGCAAATCTCACGATTTGTTGGAATCTGCTTTACTGGCACATTCTACGTTAACCATGTGGGCGGGGTCGTTGCGCTATTCTCATTGCTGAGAGTCACTTTCTAGGAGGCCAGACAATAGAGTGCATCAGGGAAAAAGACAGTGATTCAAGCTGTAGTGCTCAAAAGCGCTACACGGGAAGGACCTATGTTTCCCTAAGAATCTTGTTTCCTGTAGGTTCCATCATGAGCACAAGGCACATTTGAATACCTTTCGTTGGCCGTTAAGTGCGTTCATACTTCGCGATTCGATGGCTCGAGCGATCCAAGCGATCGGTCCGCACAGTGTGAACGCGGTCCTAACTTTCCGGAACGCTATTGCTATAAGGCAGGACTATGTACTGACCGCTAGGTTTGTCTGGGCTCGTGCAGTCATTGTCACTGAAGTCAGTCGGGGCGTGTCACCAAGGCGTGGTACCGGAGCCGCACCAGCGCTTTTTCCATGGATTGTTGCTGCTTCGGGAGCTCAGTGAGTGGTAAAAAAGATGTTGGCACCGCGCCAAAATATGGGCCCCCTACTCGCTCCAACTCGGTTCGGTGACAACAACTGTCAATAATCCTTATAGCCATTGTAGAGTGCGCCTTTAATCGATTCTTGTAGTTTAGAATCTCCTATTAATAAAATAGTAATCACTTCAGGTACTTGGAGAAGTTGAAGCAATGACCGAGGAGATAAAATCAAAGAAGAATGAGAAACTTGACATGCAGGTACATTCGTACATTTAGACAGTCATGATCCCTGCAAACGATAGAGCGAGTGACGGGACGTGGATCCGAGCGCAGCCAGGAGGGGCCTTTCCGCGTGGTTCACTTCTGAGTCCGCAAAAAAAGGGGGGATGGCCCGACTGCGCTTCTACTCACGCTCTATCGTTTGCAGGGGTTATGGCAATCCGACGAAGGTCGGACGAGGACGAAAAGGTCCGAAAAGGCTCATTGATGGTGACATGATGCATCACAGTATCGACCAAGAAGCAGAATATTTAGGATTTTCTGACCACAATTCCCCGCCAACCTGATAGGAAGTATGTTATTAGGGTCTTCCAGGCTAAGAATTTATTTTTAGGATATCATCGATGTCGCTGTGGGATCAGTAATCAATCAGCTACTGTTCGGATATCGATTTGATGAGGTATTGAATGCGAAGATTTTTGAGATTTTCAATTACAAAATCGCTGTAATCAGTCGGGGCGCTATCGAGAGGAATACAATAAGCTCACTCGCGACGGGTGTGTGACAAGAGAATCGTAATTCGCAGCTCAAGTGAGTGTCGCGTGCAACGTCGCGCCTCAAAAAGCGATGGTTCCAGGCAGTGCATGGAGACAACAGGCAATTCGGAATCGAAAATAGTCATGAATGCCTACGATGACGGGGGTTCGCATGAAGTCCAGTGTTCTAATCCACTTGTTAATACGAGTTAAGAAAACGCCGCACCCATCGCCGCGCGCGACGGAGCGGCAAATTACGGTCCTCTTGCTCGTCTCCCACTCGCGGCGTTTCCACCACTGTTTGTTTTCTTCCCGAAACAGTCTCTAACAGATCACTGTTGACAGAAAAGCGGCAGGGGACGTGCTCACGCCTTTTGGCACCGCCCCGAATGATTGCGAATATGTCAACTAGATGTGCATATATTTTTGTTATAGGACCATGTGGAAGAGTTTCGTGAGTTGAAGATGATGCTCTCCCGTCAAATGAAGGAAACTGCTCACCCGTCGGCTGTGATTCTGTTCATGTTTCCCGGTGCTAAATATCTGCCCTATTTCAATAGAATGTGGAAGAAGTAAGTTTAGCCTAGCAGGCAGGATAAAGGAAAAAAACTGCGTGAAAAGTCCTAAAATATGTGTCTGTGTGGTTGTGTGACGAAGTTCATAGCGCTCAACCCGGTTGCAAAGGGGTAAGTTGATTCCAAGGAGTGATATAGGGGCTGTGGCGGGAACAACACTGATGGATGACAGGGAGTGATATCAGATGATAAGATCTGATAACAGGACGATGCCATGTTTTACAAAGCAGTTTTTCTGAATATCAAGTCCCTATTTTCGTTGGAAAATGAAAACTTTCCAGTGGCAATCTCCGGTCCGTCGTGGGAAATGGAGAGTACCCCTAGGAAAGTCTAACAATTGACAGTTGTGACTAAATCCTCCTGGATTTCAGAATACTTATGTATCGCGATGCTTTTTACGCGTTTTTCGACCGTCAAATTGAAATCCACCGGAAGGAAATCGAATATGATTCGGAACACAGCAATGACTATGTCGAGGCCTTCCTGAAGGAGCAAAAACGTCGTGAAGCAGATGGCGACTACGAGTCATTCAAGTAAGCATCAAAAATGCTATTACATATTTCTCAGGCCTGCTGTTGCGGCACTATTCACCCTTTACTGCCCAGACATAAGAAATCAAGCCAATTTCTTTTTTTTCTTAAAGGGCAAGGTCTGGCTAAAAATTTGCCTCCAGTTTAGCCTGACCTCTTAAAAACTAACATCACGTTGCTTGGTTCAAAACCCTCGGTGTTCGCGCGACAGGCGCCGGCGCCACCTTTAGTCACCAAGTTTGCTGAAAGCTTGTCCCAAGGGGAGTTTGACCGTCTGAGCACGATCACTTCTGCATGAGATGCCGGTAAGGTTAAGGATGGGGTAAGGTGGGAGGGCATCGCATGACAGCGCGGCTTGTTTCTGCTCGTCTGCAGCATTCTCTGAACAGTGACCCCGTGTTCTGCTAAGGCTGAGCCCAGCGAGGAGAAGGCATCACTGTTGCAGGCAACCAGAAGCGGTCGACGCGTTTCCTTAACTGCCTTGGCGCACCGCTCGGCACGAAACCACGTGGAGTAAGTGCTACAGGGGTCAGAAGTCTGTGGTACCGTCGCTTGTGTGCGTACAGGCATTTCAGACTGAGCAGATGTGATATTCGCGTTTAGGGTTCAAACGACCCCTGGGAAGAAGTTTTTAGCGAATCTGGTTACAGGGGATTCTGGCGCAGGCATCTGCGGCGCGAGCGCCGGCATTTCCGAGCCAAACGGAGATATTCGCGTTGAAAGGGTCAGACTGTCTCTGGATATCGATGTTCAGACAATTTAGTGTTGCGACCCGCGTTTAGAAACCTGTGGGAGTAAAGGGTAACCAGGTCTTTAGAATGTCCAGATGAACAGTTCACGCTGATCGTACGGACGAGGTCCAGCCTACCGTTGGCTATTACTTGAAAATACGGCACTCCCTTTCAATTCAAGTGAGGAGGGCACAATGCTGGGCCTGATTTCGCCCATGCAATCAGAGTAAGCTGTGGCTTTCAAAACTGGGGGTTTTGTAGGCTTATAGAATGGGAAAGCACTCCTCGAACCCGAACCCGTCATCCTGTAAAATAGTTAGTAGTAAAGTTTACTGACTTTACCTTTGGGGAGGTAAATCGAAATGTTATTTTTTTATCAAAGATCCGCAGGTAAGCAGAGATCAGGAATAAAAGCGCAGTGTAAATAAAGCAAAAGAAACAAAAGAAGGAGTGTTTCATCAAGTTATGGGCGGGGGGGAGGCGGTGGGAGGGGGTCATAATGGGTTTTCCACATAAACTAGAATTGTCTCTTGGTTATTTAGGCATATTCAACTCCAAAATATGTGCCTTGACTTGTGGTTTGCTGGAATGGAAACGACTTCAAATACGTTTTCATGGGCTGTCGTCTACATCCTCAACCATCCAGATGTTCAGGTTGGAAAAACCTTCTGTTTTTCTTCATAACCCTTTTTATCAATAGT